TATAATCCACTCTGGATGAAATATGTTTACGGCATTGAAGTCTATGGGGGAGAGAATAGTCTAAAAGTATTATATTTTAGGGCATTATTTTTATTGTAGGAGTATGCAATGAGGGTTGCAGAGTGGATTAGTTTTTTAATTTTACTATATGATGCATGTATTTTGCTTTTAATTTCCATGTCAGTCTTTTTGGGGGGGGGTGGGGAATAACACAAAACATTTTTATCTTACCTTTAGTGACTCTTGCTTGGCTTAGTATAAAGAGGGTTTTGTTTTCTTTTTTAATCTATAGGAACTGTAACACTATTATCTATGGAAAGATATTTTTCAATAGTGAGTATTTTTATGTACTTATGTATACATAATGATCTTTAGAGGCAAAGATAATGAAACTTGGCCTCAGGGACATTCTTTCAGGAGGGGCCAGTCCTTGGAAAAAGGCATCTTACTAGTAAAGAAAGGTCAGCTAAAGAGACGAAGACCTCCACCAGAGTGGATCGACACATAGACTGCAACATGGAATTTGAGCATGGTGGAGATTGTGTGGATGGTACAGGATACAGCAAGTTTCCAATCTGTTTTTCATAGGGTTGCTTTGAGTCATAGTCAACTTGATGGCATCTGACAATAACATTGCATATGGTAGCCCTGCTGATACAGTGGTTAAGTGCTTGACTGCTACCCAAAAAGCTGATGGGTTGAATCCAGTAACAGCTGTGCAGACGGAAGATCTTTCCATCTGCTTTTGTAAAGATTATAGTCTTGGAAACCTTATGGGGGTGGTCTGTCCTTAGTGTTGCTAAGAATTGGAATGAACTCCATGACAGTGAGGCCGTTTTTGTTTTCTTTGGGCATTGTATACATGTCATATTCTGTGTTTTAGAACTCCTGAGATTCCCTAGATACAAATACTGTTTGTAGCTATGAAAGATTTCATCTTCTCTTCAATGACTAGGACGATGGTAGGAAATTATTTCTGTTAATGTTTAGTGAATTAAGACCAAGGAAGTCTGGTTGTGGCTGTCTTTTTAGCACTCATGTCATTCTAGCCATGGAAATCCTATTTCCTGTTCATTAATTTCAGTATTCCATTCTTTCCCAAGATTTTGCTTCACAGCAAGCTTTCATACTTCAAGCTCTACATGTTAGTGTTCAGTCCTCATTCCCACATAAACACAACCATTTTGAAAACATGAACTGATATTAATTACCCCTTTGGCACCAAAAAGTCAGGATTTCCTGATGCGGCACGCTAATGTAAAATGCATTAGTGCAAATGCTGGCTCCAAGGGGTAATACTCTCTAAATAAACACAGCAATGTTTTTCTTTATTCACAGCTCTCAGGCTATTCTGAAAGTCATTCATCCTCCACACCCCTAAAAAATAATTTTGAGTTTTAATATGTTATAACTAGATTTTCAGAAGGAGGAATTGAATTTCAAGCTGCAAATCAGTGGCAGTCTTTTTGATTCTTTGAAATAAAATCTACCTAAATGTTCTAGTGATTAAATGACCTTGAACCGTAATTTGCAGTAGTCCACTAGAGAATAATGTACATTTAATCATTTGTCTCTCTAAAATGTGTCTTACCTGTTTTGACTTCATTTATTTGGAAATAGAAAACTTTTATCCAGTCAGTTACATCTAGACAGTATGTTTTGGATTTTATTTTGTTTGTCTTGAGGTGTATATATGTGTGTTTATTGAACATATAGATGTCTGTTCAAGAAAGCTTTATTATTTCATACTTTAATGTACCTTCTTGTCTTTGGCTGCATTCTCTAGAGAAGCAAAACCAATGAAGCGTGTAGGTGTGTCAAGGAGAGAGAGGGTGTGAAAGATACTTACCTTGAAGAAATAGCCTGTGCGGTTGTGGACACTGGTTATTCCTGGATTGCCTCACTGTGGTTGTAGACAAGGGCTGACAAGCCCATAATGAGCATCTCATATGGGTGGTGTTCTCACAGGCCCATGGAAATGGGGAATGCTCACATCAATAGGTCACAATTCTTCAAGCCTCAAGCACTGGAGGTCAGATGAGGATGAGCTGAATGCAGGATCCAGGCCAAGCGAGAGCCTTGCCCTCCCAGCTCTCCGTGTATTGGACTCAGGTTACTCTCCTTCAAGGAAGCTCTGCCTGCATTAGAGTAGGAGTATGACTGGTAACTCCCTCTTAAAAGGTTGAGTCAAGATGCATCTTATCTTAATCCTGCCTTGCTAATATATAAAGATTAAGATCTGCAACACTTAATATGGAGGGTAGTTACATCAGAGGACAACCATAGAATACTGAGAATCATAATTTGATCAAGTTCACACAAAACATCAACCATCAAACACCACGTAATAATAGACAAATCTTGGTGTCGATACAAAGTAGAAGTTGAAATTGTTCAG